TGCAATTATCCGTGAAAACTTTTTGCACTTTTTCAGCAAACATTTTAACAGTTTCTCTCAAAAATGGAGCACAGTTTTTGCACTAAAATAATAGCGGAATTCACTCACCTTTTTTTTGCTTGTATTTTATTTTGTTTTTCGTAATAAACATATTTTCGTTAAATCAACAAAATCAAAATACAGCCATCATCATTGAGAGTGTGTTATTGCAAATCACAGTAAAATATATTTTACACATTTTATTTCAGTGTCTATAATTTCAAATTTTTTTTCGCTGTCTCTCAACAGTTTTTTTGCAAAATAAATTATTTTAATCAAAGTGTTTGACAGCCAACAGCGCTTGACCACTTTTCTTTTTCCTAACCGTTTATTTGGTGATGTACTAAAAAATAAACATTAAGATAATGTCTGGTACGGGGCAGGAAAATGATTGGTCTTGTGAATTTCAGTGTTACAGGTGAACTTAAACTTCTGACAATGATCGAGAATAAAACGGTGCTGGACCTTTGTATCAAATAGACAATGTTACAGCAGAAAAGAGTGTAGTTTTTTTTAATTCTTTTTTTTTTTTTCTTCATGACTGTGGTTCTAGCCTTTTGTAAAAATTTCAAAGAGAGACTGTTCAAGAGACCTAAATTTTGGTGGTTCTGAAATTCAAAATGTGAACAGCATTAAGACGCATATTAAGTTGTTGAAATTTACGAATTCTTTATCTTTGAACTTTTTACCAAACAACCGGCAGACCTTTTTTAGAATTAGTATGAAACTGTTGACAATTTCTCAAAATGTCTTTTAATTTCTAGATAATAAAAGAAGAACAGCAAAATGGTGTAACAGATAAGCATAAGTTTTGGTGGTTGCAAATAGAAATTTCTATATTTTTCTGTTGCTTATGTCAACTCAGTATATCGTTACTGCACATAAGTTTTTTTTGCTCGATTTTTTTATCTTTTAAATCCTAATCTATCTTTCCATCTTTGTTAAAGGTTTACAATAAAGAAGGCTAGATCTACATGTATTTGCATTAAAATCTTATTTTGTTGCAACTG